GGGCAGGAGGTCCTGGGCCGGAGGGAGAACTTGACTTGGCTCCACAGTCCGGGGGCTCCGGTCTCGCCGAGGCGGAGGGGAGCCCCTCAAAACGCAGCTGGTGCACCATGGCCCGGCGAGTCCCCTGGCACCGGACGGACACCGACGGCCCGTTTGGAACCATGAAATGGGGGTTGGCCCACGTGAGGGGCTCTGAGAAGGTTTGGTTCTGGGCACCGACCCTCAGGCTCAGACACAGACCGAGGCAGACAGGAGCAGCGGGGCGAGGCGGCAGATGCTCAGGATGTGGTGAGTGAGGCCCAGTGCCCGCCCACATGGGGCTCTCAGATGGACTGGTTGGCAAGGAGGCGCTCAGCTCTTCCTCGCCTCTCCCCGGGAGGCTAAGGAGAGGGACAGGGTCCTCACGCCACGTCTGATCGCAGCCGGAGGCCTCACCCGATCCTCCGACAATGGTCTGTCTGGTCTGAAACTGGTTTCTGGGTCAACGTCTACGTTTTGAAATGTGAACATTAATGCCCAGAGAAGGTGGTGTTGAAGCAAAAATGTTAGAATCATTTTTTTTCAATGTTTTGGGTAAGTTTTAATTTAAAATAGTATACTGACCTTTTTATGCAGAGCAAATTTAAATTCATATTTTCTCCAATAATAAGAAATGTATATTATCTGAATTATAAATATAAAATAATTATATATAAAAGATTTTTTTCCCCTTGGAGTGTTTTATGGCACAAATATGATAAAAGACTGAATATTTAGTGAACTTTGGTAGGTTAACTATTTTTCCCTTCCCATTTCCTTAAATTGATTTCAGAGAGGAGGGGAGATGGAGAGAGAGACAGAAACATCAATGATGAGAGAGAATCATTGATTGGCTGCCACCTGCATGACCCCCCACTGGGGACTGAGCCTGCAACCCAGGCATATATCCTTGACTGGAATCGAACTTGGGACTCTTAAGTCCACATGCCAATGCTCTATCCACTGAGCCAAACCAGCTAGGACCATTTTTTAAATTAAGGTATTATATGTGTATCTTACCATTACCCTCCCCCCCACACTCCTATACATGCCCTTACCCCCCAGTTTTTGTGTCCGTTGGTTATGCTTTTTTTAAAAAAAATACATCTTTATTGTTCAGATTATTACAAATGTGATCCTCTTCCCCCCCTCAATTGTTCCCCTTCACCAGGTTTCCACCCCACCCTCTGTCCTTTCCCCATCCCCCATTGTCCTCATCCATAGGTGCACAGTTTTTGTTCAGTCTCTTCCCGCACCCCCACTCCCCTTTTCCCTGAGAATCGTCAGTCCACTCCCCTTCCATACCTCTGATTCTATTATATTCACCAGTTAATATTGTTCATCAGATTTTAAAATTCCTTTGGTTTTTAGATTCACTTGTTGATAGCTACGTATTTGTTGATCATAATTTTTATCTTTATCTTCTTCCTCTTCCTAAATAACCTCCTTCAGCAATTCATATAATTCTGGTTTGGTGGTGATGAACTCTTTTAGCTTTTTATTATTTGTGAAGCTCTTTATCTGTCCTTTGATTCTGAGTGATAGCTTTGCTGGGTAGATTATTTTTGGCTGTAGGTTCTTGTTATTCATCACCTTGAATATTTCTTGCCATTCCCCTCTGGCCTGCATGGTTTCTGTTGAGAAATCAGCTGACAATCTTATGGGTGCTCCTTTATAGGTCACTACCTGCTTTTCTCTTGCTGCTTTAATATTCTCTCTTTGTCTTTTGCTCTTGGAATTTTAATTATGATATGTCTTGGTATGGTCCTCCTTGGATTCCTTTTGTTTGGGGTTCTGCGGGCTTCCTGGACTTGTAAGTCTATTTCTTTCCCCAGGTGGGGGAAGTTTTCTGTCACTATTTCTTCTAGTATTCTTTCGGTATCTTGCTCTCGCTCTTCTGGAATCCCCATAATTCTGATGTTGGTTCGCTTGAAATTGTCCCAGAGGTTTCTTACACTATCTTCAACTTTCTGGATTCTCTTATCTTCTCCCTTCTGCAGAGGAGTGTCCTCTGGCTCTTTGTGTTCTAAATCTTTGTCTTGATTCTTGCGATCTTCCAGTCTGTTTTTAGGACTTTGTATAATATTTTTTATTTCAGACAATGTTTTCTTCATTTCTTGTTGATCCCTTATTATTTCTAGTTGCTCCCTTTTCATATCCTCATAGGTCTCATTTATTTTATCGGCCTTTTTTAGGATTTTGTTGAATAACCTTATAACTGTAGTTTTGAACTCAATGTCCAATCTTTTCTTTTCCTCCATCTCCTTCCTTTGTATCCTTCTTCTTGTCTGCATTTTAGTTGTTTCCCTGATTTGATGGAATAGCTTTGTGTGCTAGGTGTTCTGGTAGAGCCCAGTAGCACAGCCTTCCCAGTTACCTGCAGTGGACAGTCTTGGTGTAGCCCTTTGTGGGCTGTGTGTGCAGTCTTGTTGTTAAGCCTTGCTTATTGTTGGTATCACTGGGAAGCGTTGATCTCCAAGCCAATTGGCTGTGAGGATCAGCAGTGTCTCAGCTAGGAGGGTTTCCGTACTCTGCTTGAATAGGGCGGGGTCTCGGGGTGGCGCAGACAATCTTTGGTTCCCTGTCAGTCTCGCCTTAGAAAAGTCCTGTTTTGGAAGATTGGTTGCAGGTGCGCGCACACCTCTTTGGTAAAGGCGCAGATAAGCTTTGGATTCCTGCAAGTCCCTTCTTAGAGAAAGCCAGCCTCTGGGAGAGCTTCTGTGGTCAGCCACAGGTAGGGCGGAGTCTCGGGTTGGTGCAGACAAACTTTGTTTTCCCTTCGGCTCCTCCCCAAGACCCGCAGTAATGGCCTCTGGCTTCACACACCTCCAAGAGATCTCTGCCCACTGCCTGACAGTCTGGCCTCTCCCTGTCTGGGGCCGTTTATCAGAGCAATAGGGTGATTCTGTTTTCCTCTCGGACAAGAAAGCCAGCCGCGTTAGCTGTTCGCCCTCTCCGCGCCAGGAGTAAGCCAGTAGTGAACTCAGCTCGGCCCGCCCTCTCTGCGTGCAGGGAGTAAGCCAGCAGCAATCTCGGTCCGGCCCCTCCTCTCTGCACCGGGATTAAGCCAGCGCCTTTTCGCACACACAGTTCTCCGTACCTTCACAGTTCCTGAGGTTCAGTGTGCCTTCTCTCTCCTTCCCAGATGGCAGAGCCTCCTCTCAGCCAGCCGTCTGGCGCTTTAGGGCAATGCCTCCCCTGTTTTTCAGTTCTAAATTCAAATTTGTTGTGGTAGGCTGCATTCGGGTGTCTACCCTATGCCGCCATCTTGGTTTCTCTCTGGTTATGCTTATTACATGTATGCATACAAGTCTTTTGGTTGATTTCTTATCTCCCCCACCTCTCCCTAACCTTCCTACTGTAATTTGACAGTCTGTCTAATGCTTTATTGCCTCTGTATCTATCTTTTTGTTCATCAGTTTATAATGTTCTTTATTATCCACAAATGAATGAGATCATGTGGTATTTTTCTTTCATTGACTGGCTTATTTCACTTAGCATAATCTCCAGTTTCATCCAGGTTGCTGCAAATGGTAAGAATTCATTCTTTTTTATGGCAGCATAGTATTCCACTGTGTAGATGTTCCATAGTTTTCTGATCCAGTCATCTGCTGTCGAGCACCTAGGCTGTTTAATCTTAACTATTATAAATTGTCCTGCTATGAACATAGGGGTACATAAATCCTTTCTGATTGGTGTTTCCAGTTTCTTAGGATATATTCCTAGGAGTGGGATTACTGGGTCAAATGGGAGTTCCATTTTCAGTTTTTTGAGGAAACTCCATACTGTTCCCCACAGTGGCTGCACCAGTCTGCATTCCCACCAGCAGTGCATGAGCGTCCCTTTTTGTCCACAACCTCGCCAACACTTGTTGTTTGTTGATTTGTTGATGTTGGCCATTCTGACAGGTGTGAGATGGTACCCCATTGTTGTTTTTATTTGCATCTCTCAGATAAGTAGTGACTTTGAGCATGTTTTCATGTATCTCTTGGACTTCCTTCTCTCGTCTTTTGAAAAAATCTTATTTAGGTCTGTTGCCCATTTTTTTAAAATTGGATCATTTATCTTCCTTTTATTAAGTTGCCTGTAGATGTTAAAGATTAAACCTTTATCAATGATAACATTTGCAAATATGTTCTCCCATACAGTGGACTTTCTTGTTTTATTGAAGGTTTCTTTTGCTGTAAAGAAGCTTTTTATTTTGATGTAGTCCCATTTGTTAATTTTCTCTTTATATTCCATTGCCGTAGGAGCAGTATCAGTGAAAAAGTTCTTTTCCTTGTATTGATTTTAGAGAGAATGGAAGGGAGGGAGAAAGACAGAGAGAAACACTGATGTGAGAGAGACACATCGATTGGTTGCCATTGCACATGCCTGAACTAGGGCTGGGAATTGAGTTTGAAATTGATAGGTACTTAAAACTTGACTGGAATCGAACCCAGGACCCTTCAGTCCATGAGTGAATTCTCTATCTACTGAGCCAAAAACAGTTAGGGCCTATGTTGCCTTTATATTTGTTATTCTACTGTTTTCAGGTATATACATTTTGTAAAATATAGTGTTTTGTTTTTTTGCAATGAGGTAAAAGATACCATATATACAAGTAGGTACAGAGTTTGCATATCTGCAGTTAAAAAACTATTTTTGGAGTTAAAATTTTTAAACACTGTTCTGAATTAATAAACGTTTGTATAGAGTGATATTTGCCTTGCTTATGCTTTTTTATTGTCATTTTCTTACTTATTATATGCTTATTAGCCTTAATATACAGATTCTGTTCCAGCTCCTGAGAGAATAAATGTAGAAATGATATAGTTCTTGAATTTTAAGGAGCATATTGTCTGGTTATGGGAGGCAGATATTGTCATATAAGAGGTATGACAATATAGTAGTATATTGTATGTGCTAAGAAGGAAATATATACAGGGTGGAGTAGAGTTCAAGGTAGGAAGTAGTCAGTTTCTGCCTCAGAAGGATGGGGAATGGCTGTCAAGAATGGTTTACTAATGAAACGGTGCCTAAATCCTAAAAGGTAAGATGGTATTTTGTTAAGTTATCATCCTATATAATAAAAGGGTAATATGCAAATTGACTCTAATGGCAGAACAACCAGAATGACTGCTGGACCAGTCACTATGAGGCACACTGACCACCTCTTGGTCTCTTTTCCCGGCTGGCAGGCTCCGATTGCCTGATGGTGAATGGGGAACTGAGGATGAGTGACAGGGGATGTGAGTGGTGCCAGGCCAAAGCTCCTGCCATACCAGTCACCCCACATACAGAGGGTGACCCATGGTGGGGGTGGGGCTAGCAAGCGGGTGGGAACAGCAGACTTCTCGGTCCCTTCCCCTGGCTGTCAGGCACTGATTACCTGATGGTGAACGGGGACTGGGAGGTTGGTGGCAGAGGGGGGTGGGGCCAGCTGTGGGTAGCCGGGGAAGATGGCCCTGATCACAGGCCTGACCTAGGGACTATACCAGTGCATGAATTTTGTGTGTTGGGCCTCTAGTCCTATTTATTAAAAGGCTAATTGCAAATCAACCAAATGGTGGAATGACCAGTCGCTATGACGTGCACTGACCACCAGGGAGCAGATGCTTAATGCAGGAGCTGTTCCCTGGTGGTCAGTGTGCTCTCTCAGGGGAAGTACCATTCAGCCAGAAGGTAGGCTCACGGCTTGTGAGTGCAACGATGGTGGCAGAAGCCTCTTCTGCCTCCATGGCAGCGCTAAGGATGTCTGTGGGAGTGGGCCTAAGCCATCAGTCGGACATCCCTCGAGGGCTCCCGACTGTGAGAGGGCACAGGCTGGGCTGAGGGACTCCCGAGTACACAAATTTTTGCATCAGGCCTCTAGTTAGATAATATAAAATCTTTGAGAACAAAGAATCTCACCTACTTTTGTGTCACAGCACAAAGAAAGAATTTGTCAGTAAATGAAAGACTCTCTAAGGTTGGCAAACAATTTCAAGTTTAAAACTATTATAAAAGTTATTTTTTTACATATACCATACCAATAGGTGGCAGTGTTACCCCATGAAAAAAGACATTAATAAAAGTTGAAAATGTCTTAACCTGAATTTCCAAACCTGGTAATGATAATGTTCTGGGTTAAAAATGGATAAGAAAAAGTAGGTTTGATTATTATTATTTTTTTTCTATGCAGGCCAGCTTTTCTTTGAATAAGCCAAATGTCATAGAAATCCCCACCCGCTTCATTCATCCTGAGCCACAGAGATCTCCAATAAAAAACTTGACTTGGATACCTCTCATTGCAAAGGCCTGTGGGAGTCTGAGGTGCTTCTTGAGATTTCTGCACTATACTGACCCAGAATAAACAACCACACCTGAGCTCCCTGTATGATGCTCACTAAAAGCCCATTCCCATAAAACGCTCATGAGTTTAAGAGCCTTTAGTGAAGATTTGGAGAAAGGATAGCAGCAAAGTTTACATAGTAGTTACATAAATAACCTAGAGTGAGTCAGTCAGCTTCCCAGGTTTCATGATGTTCTTTGGCTGCCCACCACCATGGAGTTTTACTGAATTACTTTATTTCAGTTTTTCTTTTTCTTTTTCTGGTTGGCTCCTCTTTTACCTTAGTCCTGTAACTTCAGATACACCCTCCTAGCTGGCGAGCCCCCCCTCCCCCCATCTCCTTCTAGCTCCCTGCTTCTCTTTTCCACTTCCTCTCCATCATTTTCTGTCTCTCCCTACTTCCCCCAAACCACCAAGCTGCTCTACGGTAGGGGTCTCTTCATTAAGTGTGATTCCTCTCCCCAGAAGATATTGATAGCAGCTGATTAACCTGAAATAGAAAGCAAAACAATCTTTTGCTTTTCGTTGTAATAAAAATATTTTATTATGTGCCCTGAAGACATTTAAAAAATTGTAATCACATTTTTTTTACCTGCTGATTGCAGGATTTTTCTTACCAGGTTGTTATTAATGAGGTTCTTAATGTTCTTTACTCCTTCCTCCATTTTCCCTGTGCCTAAAAAATAAATCTCCCGCGATTTATCTTATTTGCTACTTATGCTCCTCCCTGCCCTGCCCCTTCTTAGTATTTTTTTATCTGTGTGTCTTAGTGTGGTTTCAGGATTAGTGCCATTTGCAAATTGCGATTAACCACCAATAGGGGACCATTCTCCTTCTTAAACTTTTATTATGAAAAAATTTAATATAAAAAAATTTGGAAGGTTGTTGAAAGTGTGTGTTACCTAGGCTCTATGCTTGTTAACATCGTGCTTGCTTTACATCCTTTCATTTTATTTTTTGATGGATTTCAAAATAAGTTGCAGGCAGCTTTGCACAGTGGCAGTATCATAGCCAATGAAGTTTGTCCGAAGCATGATTATTACTAATTGAAAATAAAATAAGTTGCAGACGTAAGTGTACTTCATTCCCAGACATTTTATCATGTTTATAATTAATTGGGTTTAATATTTCTCAGTTCATTTTTTTAAAGGTAAAATTTATATAATAGTGAAATCTAAATCTTAGGTGAAATCTAAATCATTAGATAAGTTTTGACACATGCAAAAGCCTGGGTGTTTTTTTTTCAAGGCAAATTGCAGGCATACTTCTAGAGATTTTAGCATGAATATCCTACCTCTATCAAGATATAGAGGATATATATGGAGGTTTGTTTTTTATATACAGAGAGTAGAAAATGTTTAAATTCTGGACTTTTCCAAGCTTGAGTAAACTGATGGAATAAAATTACTATAGTAGAAGGCTGAGGTCTACAAACTGCGGCTCGTGAGCCACATGTGGTTCTATGGCCTCTAGAGTGTGGCTCTTCCACAAAATACCACGGCCTAGGCGAGTCTATTTTGAAGAAGTGGCGTTAGAAGAAGTTTAAATTTAAAAAATTTGGCTCTCAAAAGGAATTTCAATCATTGTACTGTTGATATTTGACTCTGTTGACTAACGAGTTTGCCAACCACTGGTATAGGGATTATAGGAGAGTTTTATTTTATAGGTGCAGAAACACTTTTCAGATTAGGGTCTGCATCTGTGCTTTTTGTTTTCTTCAATTTCATCTCTGTGACAAGTAAGCAGAAACACTCAGAAGGGAAATGGCCAGTGTGTGTATTAAAAGCAGGAAGTAGGTCTATTTTTTGATATGTATCTTTGAAATGTTTTATACCTTTGGCATTCAATAAATATTTCTTGTCACTAGATAGGCTGGCACTAGAATTTACTGGTTCTATGTTATGATCATTGCTTGTTCACCTAGAAAACAACGATGGGGTCATAGAATTCAAAGCCATGGAGAACATCAGTCATCTTTCTCAGCTCTTCATCAGTTACTACTTACAGTAGGCTTTAAGGTAGACAATATGATACTGAGAGCTTCTCAAGGGCACAGAGGTGAAGAAAGAATGGCAGCAGGATTCAGGCAGAACAGCGTTGATGTTCTAGCAGTAAAGAGACATTGATTCTGAGTTCTCTTATGTTCCTGATAGGAGTTTCAGTCCTGTGCTCCAGTGTTCCAGGGCCTGCAGGAGCATGCAGATAAGTAATGACTTACTTTATTTATTTATTTACTTATTTAATTTATTTAACTAGAGGCCCAGTGCACAAAATTAGTGCAAGGGAGGGGGGCCCCCTCAGCCCAGCCTGCATTCTCTCTAATCTGGGACTCCTCAGGGGATGTCTGACTGCTGGGATCAGACCTAAAAGGGCAGTTGGATATCCTTCTCACAATCCTGGGCCACTGTCTCCTAATTGCTAACCTGCCTGCCTGCCTGGTTGTTCCTAACTGCCCCCCTTTCTAGCCTGATCGCCCCTCAGGGCCTCTGCGTGCCAACCTGATCATCCCTGCCAGCCTGGTTACCCATTACTGCCCCCCTGCACCAGCCTAATAGCCCCCAACTGTCCCCCTCTGCCAGTCTGGTTGCCCCTCACTCTCCCCCTGCTGGCCTGGTCACCCCACACTGCCTGCTGTTCAGTCATTTGGTCGTCCCTCACTAATCCCCCTGCCAGCCTGGTTGCCCCATGTAGCCTGCTTGTTCAGTTATTTGGTCGTCCCTCATTAACCCCCTTGATGGCCTGGTCATAGGCAGCCATCTTGTGAGGGCATGATGGTCAATTTGTAAATTACCTCTTTATTATATAGGACATTTTTATTTATTTCAAAGAGTAAGGGACGAGGAAAGAGAGATAGAAATATCAGTGGTAAAAGAGAATCACTGACTGGCTGCCTCCTGCATGCTTTCCCTATTTGGGATGGAGCCCGCAATTCAGGCGTGTGCCCTTAACCAGAATTGAACCCGGGACCTTTTAGTCTGCAGGCTGATGCTTTTGTCCACTGAGACAAACCTGCTTCTGCCTACCAGTCCGATCACTCCCTAACCACTCCCCTGCTAGTCTGATCGATATCTAACTGCTCTCCTGTTAAAACGATTACCCTTAAATGCCCTCTACTGCTAGCCTGGTTGCCCCTAACTGTTCTCCCCTTCAGTCCTGGCCACCACCATCTGCCCTCCTTTGCTGGCCTGGTTGCCCCCAACTGCTCTCTCCTGTTGGCTTGGATCCCCTCCCAACTGTCCTCCCCTCCTGGACTGATTGCTCACAACAAGCCTCCCCTGCAGGCCATCTTGTGGTGGCCATCTTGTGTCCATCTTTGACCACATGTGGGCGGCCATCTTTTGTGTTGGAGAGATGGTTAGTTTGTATATTACTTCTTTATTATATAGATATTAGAGGCCACTGCCCGAATGCATGCATGGGTGGGGTTCAGCTGGCCCAGCCCCAATCAGGGCAGGTCAGGGCTGGGTCTGTTGGGAGGAGGAGATGGCAGAAGGTTGACCAGATGTCCTGCCCTGATTGGGGTCCAATCAGGGCCTGGCTGGCTGGGGGGAGGGACCATGGGGAATTGGCCAGTGGGCCCCACCCCCAATTGGTGTTAGGGGGCTGTCTAGGGGAGGGGCTGGCCATGGAGAGGGCTGTGGGCAGTGGGCCAGCTGGCCCCACCCCTGAATGGGGTCGGGGGTGTTGATCAGCTAGGAGAGGGATCATGGATGGTTGGCCAGCTGACCCTGAACCTGATCAGGGTGGGGGGGGGGTAATCAGAAGTGGGGTCAGCCAGGGGGAGGGGCTGTGGGCCAATAAGGGTGGTGGGGACACATAGGGGATGGGGCCAACCTGGGGAGGGGCTGTGAGCCTATTGTGGTCAGGCAGGCCATTCAGCAGCAGGTTGACCAGGGGGAGGGGTCACAGTAGGTTGGCTGTCCAGCCCCAACCCCTGATCAGGCCAGTTTGCTGGCCACAGTGTGCATCATAGCGACCAGTCATAGGTCATTTTGGTTGTTACGGATGATATGTATATGTATATGTATATGTATATGTATATATTTGTTTTGTTGTTCATGCCAGTGACCAGACATTATAACTTTCAGTATGCAGACCGACGCTCTACCACTGAGCCAAACTGGTTTTGGCTCAGACATTATAACTTATTATGTGATTATCCCAATAAATCCTGTACCCATTCAGCACTTGGGGGTGGGGTCCCTCAGCCCTGCCTGCACCCTCTTGCAGTCTGGGAGCCCTCAGGGGATGTCTGACTGCCAGCTTAGCTCTGCAGCAGAGGCAGGAGAGACTCCCACCAACACCACTGTGCTCACCAGCCATGAGCCCAGCTCAGAGCTTCTGGCTGAGCAGCATTTCCCCTGCAGGATCACACTGACCACCAGGGGGCAGCTCCTGCATTGAGTGCCTGGTGGTCAGTGCACATAATAGCAAATGATCATTCCATCTATCTGCATATTAGCCTTTTATTATATAGGATTATTAACTACATCCCTATGTTTTACTTTCCATCACCATGACTTTTCTGTAACAACCAATTTGTCCTTTTTTTTTTTTTTTTAAAAAAAAGATTTTTATTGATTTCAGAGAGGAAGGGAGAGGGAGTGAGAGAGAAATATCAATGATGAGAGAGAATCATTGATTGACTGACTCCTGCCCCACACACTGGGGACCGAGCCCACAACCCAGGCATGTGCCATGTCCTTCTGGTTCATAGGTCAATGTTCAATCACTGATCTTAATCCTTTCACCTTTTTTGCCCTCCCATCTGTCAACCAACAAAAATCTCTTTGTATCTATGAGTCTGTTACAGTTCTGCTTGTTCATTTGTTTGTACATTCAATTGTTAATAGATATGTATTTATTGTTCATATTTTTTCTTTTCTTCTTCTTAAATAAGACCCTTTAACATTTCATATAATACTGGTTTAGTGGTGATGAACTCTTTTACCTTTTTCTTATCTGTGAAGCTCTTTATCTCTCTTTTGATTCTAAATGATAGCTCTGCAAGGTAGAGTAATCTTGGTTGTAAGTTTTTACTTTTAATCACTTTGAATATTTCTTGCCACTCCCTTTTGGCCTGCAAAGTTTCTATTGATAAATAAGCTGACAGTCATATGGACACTCCCTTGTAGGTCACAAACTGCTTTTCTCTTGCTGCTTTTATGATTATTTGTTTTTATTTACTTTTTTGCCTTTTATTTATAACACTAGAAGCCTGGAGCACAAAATTTGTGCATGGGGAATCCCCTCAGCCCAGCCTGCATCCTCTCCAATCCAGGATCACTCAGGGGATGTCTAGAGCGGCAGTCTAACATCCCTCTCGCATTCCTGGACTGCTGGCTCCTAATCACTCACCTGCCTGCCTGCCTGGTCGTCCCTAACTGCCCTCCCTGCCAGTCTGGTCTCCCCTAACTGCCACCCCTGCAAACCTTGTAATTCATCACAACTCCCCCCCACCCCAGCCCCCCCTGCTGACCTGGTTGTCCCAAGCAGCCTGCTGTTCAGTTGTTTGTTCGTCCCTCACTAATCCTCCTGCCGGCCTGGTTGCCCCATGCATCCTGCTTGTTCAGTCGTTTGGTCATCCCTTGGGCCAGCCCTGGGTGGGTGGGCAGCTGCCATCTGAGGCTTGCCTGCACCTCAGGCTTTCCCTGGGTGGCTAGGGAGCTGAGGGAACTGGGGGACTCTGGAGGCAGACATGTGGAGCAGCTGGACCCACCTGGGGGCTGGACCAGCCATGCCATGTGCCTGCCGCCCCAGTAGGGCTGAGGGGCCTGGGCACTGCCATCTTGTAGCTGTGGGCACTGCCATCTTTGAGGGTGTGACAGTCAATTAGCATATTATCTCCTTATTGGTTGTGGGCACCATCATCTTTGAGGGTGAGGCAGTCAATTAGCATATATCCTCCATATTGGCTGTGGGCACCTCCATCTTTGTGACAGTGTGGGGGTCAATTAGCATATTCCCTATTTATTAAATATGATATATATATATTGTGTATATGTATATACATATGTATTCTATATAACAAAAAAGAATAATATGCAAATTGACCGTACCTCTGCTACATCCACAAGCCATGTCCACCAGCCAATCAGGAGCAAATATGCAAATAAAGCCAAAC